AAGATGGATGAGGAAGTCGTGGCTTCTTTTGCTTTTGAAGAGGCCGAAATTATGTTTGGGGTAGTTATATGACAGAGTATTAATAATAATATACTTCTATGACATAGTAGTATTAACAATATAGTTTTATGACATAATATTAACAATGTACTTCTATAACATAGTATTAACACTGTACTTCTATGACATAGTATTAACAATATACTTCTATGAAGAGCTCCTGCTTGGTTTTCGTGAATTTTTTTAAAATAAAATGTTTGGGTTTAAAAAAAAATAAAATCTGAGCTAGGCTTGTTTTGGGTTTTTTGAGTTTTTTGTGGTGGACTTTTTTAAAGTTAATCAATGACAATCACGTAATTTATAGGAACTTCAATACTCATTTCTTATGTAGTAAATGAATTGAGTAATGCTACACTTACCACATTTCTATATCACATGATGTGGCATGCCCATATCATATCCACATCAATTAAATGAATGAAGTGTATTTTAATGAATAAAATTAGAAAAACAGAAACTAGTATTTTACATGATGTGGTTTGTACACATTAGTTGCCACATTATGTGGTACGAAATTGTTGTATAAAAATGTGGTAAAACTAGTATTATTCAATAGTAAAACTCCCTAATGTATAAGTGTGCTGCTCGTTAATTATGTTACCACGCGGGGTTCACATTTAGGGCATGTTTACGTATCAGTAATGAAGAAAATAAAGAATCAGAGAATTTAGGAATCAAGGAACTACTAAATTGGTATGGGAAGAATCATTCTCATTAAGCTGTTTACTAAACATATGGAATTAGCAAAGGAATAGGGTTGATTCCCATTGTTATTGTTTATTAATTTTCATGAATCGGAATCCAAATTAATTTAATTACTAAAATGCCCTGCACATTTTCACCACAACACATATATAATTCTCAAATTGGCTCAAGAGACCAAACTAATCATGCAGCAACCCAGTAAGGCGGTGCAAACATGAGGAATCAATATGCTGAAAAGATGAACATCAAGAGCCCAGTTTAATGATAATGTTTATAACACCTTTGTCCAGAGCCAATTTCAAATGAAAAAATAAACTCCAATAAATATATATCTTTCACCTACGTAACTAGTAAACAATCAAATAATAATAATATGCATAATCTTCATACGATTAAATACATAATCTTCATACTTCCAAAAAAGAGATATATAATCTCCACAAAAGTCTTTATCCATGACCGTACTTTGTTGGTTTAGAAGAAGAAGAAGAAGAAGAAGATAGATAGATAGATATATAGATAGATAAAATGACTTACATAGCATAAGGAGTTGCTACTGCTTCTAGGAGGTTGTGTCTGCAACGCTAACGTGAAAAAGAAGTTGGAGTGTCTCGGAACTTCTTGACATGAGTTTATTTATTTATTTATTTAGGGTTTGGGGTGTTTTGGAATTATGGTAAAGTAAGGGTATTTTTTTGAAGTGAATAAGAGAACATGAATGAGAATCGTATTGACTACTCCCCTTAGTTGATCTGATACTTAGTTTTGAGGGGATGTTATTACAGATTTTGAGAGGGGGCCCACTTATTTTTTAATTCTTGATTGCAAGTAAATGTAGGAGAAGTCAGGAATGAAAATCATTCCCTTTCCTCTCATACCCATTACTGATACGTAAACATGTCCTTACAACAGCAAAGTCCGTCCATGCAGTTTTATGAGTTTATCCATCTGCAAATTAAAAAGGTAAAAAAGATAACCAGACGACGTCGTAAGAGCAAGTGGGTCACGGATGCAATAAAACCGGCCCGGCCGGGAATTTTACAAAACTTGGGCCCGCTCCTCAAGCCAGGCATGAAAGAAGACCATGACTCGCAAGTCGCAACGGTTACTTGACTCACTGAGTGAACTCGCTCTCCCTCTGTTGGCTGCTGTTGCTTTCCTTCCTCTTCTCTTTCTTTTCTCTACCTCTGCGCTGCACACACACGCTTACGCTTTTCTCTTTCCCGCTCGGTGCCCCTTTTCGTCTTTTCGCTCTCCATCTTCCTCCTCGCAAAATCAGACGGCGCACTTTCCTCCACGTCACCATCGTCTTCTTCATCCCCACTGCGACCTCTCCTACACACACACATACGTCTATAATAATTTTATTATATATTTACATAAAATAACCGCTTCGTCTTTTACCTCTAGCCTTAGGGTTTCTCTCATCTTCACCCAAACACAATCTCTCTTTCCTCTCTCCCTCGCTCGCTCTACGAACCTTCAAATTATCGAGCCCTTCATGTCTCAGACTTCGTGCTCGGCTGGTCAATTTCGCCATTGAGCTTGTTCCAGGTATTCTACTATTCTTCGTTCAAATCTCAGTCCTTGTAATTTTGTTTATATTAGGTTAAGTTTTAGTTTCGTTTGCGAATCTCGTTGCTTTTGCTTCGATTTTTATATTTTTTCGTTTTGGTAGCCACAAATTTTGAGGTTTTCGTTTTTTGTTGTTTGAATTAGGGTTTTTTATTCGGTGATGGTTTGAAATTTGGGGATTCGGTGAATTGGAGGTGGTTCTAGTGTAAAATTTGTGAATCTGTTTGCTTTTGGCGGGTTGGGTTTTGGTTGTTAGAATTCATGGCGATTGAGAAGAACAACTTCAAGGTTTCGAGGTTTGATTCAGAGTTTTCTCCCGGTAGTAGGAAGAGTATGTCTAGTGACGAGGATGAGCTACAACAGCGTAGCTCTGCTGCTGAATCTGATGATGATGATGAATTTGATGATGCGGACTCTGGGGCGGGGTCTGATGACTTTGATTTGTTGGAATTGGGGGAAACTGGTGTGGAGTTTTGCCAAGTTGGGAGTCAGACTTGCAGCATTCCTTTTGAGTTGTATGATATTCCAAGTCTTGAAGATATATTGTCAGTGGATGTATGGAATGAGTGCTTGAGTGAGGAGGAGCAGTTTGGCCTCACTAAGTATCTGCCTGATTTGGACCAGGAGACCTTTATGATTACCTTGAAAGAGCTTTTTACAGGTTGTAACTTCCATTTTGGGAGCCCTGTTAAGAAGTTGTTTGATATGTTGAAGGGGGGTTTGTGCGAGCCGAGAGTTGCTCTTTACCGGGAGGGTTTGAATTTCTTTCAGAAGCGGCAACACTACAATATTTTGAGGAAGCATCAGAATAATATGGTTAGTAATCTCTGTCAGATAAGGGATGCTTGGCTTAATTGCAAGGGATATAGTATTGAGGAGAGGCTCCGGGTGTTGAATATTATGAGAATCCAGAAGAGTTTGATGGGTGAGAAGATGGAAGATATGGAGACTGACTCCTCAGAAAGGGAGTCGGGTGAAGGCTTACAGATCAACAAGATCAAGGACAGGAAAGTTGCACAGAAAATCGCTCGTTATTCTCCATACGGGGTGGGTACAAATGTGGATTTTGCATCAAGAGGGCGGTCATCAGCTATGGAACTGGCAAAATATGGGAAGCAGAATCCAAAAGGTATACTGAAGATGGCTGGGTCGAAGACTTCTTCAACAAAAGAGCTAGCAAGCCATTCTGGACCATACAGTTCAGCAGTCGCTCTTCCTCAGCAGCTTAAGGCCGGAGGGTATGATTCCAGGGCAACACTCAGAATGAGGGATCAGTTGATAAGTGGTGATGATGTTGAAGACACTACATATGGAATTGGTGTACAGCGAGATAGAAGCTTGTCTCGTAGTAGCTTGATGGACAAGTCTGGTGTTTTCAAAGTGGGAAAGAAGCTGGACCTATTAAGAGGTGATGAATTAATCACTGACACCTTGCTGGGTGTGCCTGTCTCCTCAAAGACTGATGTACATGCCTATGGTAGGAACCGCAATGCAAACCTTTTGTCAGAGTCAAAGGTAATAACAGCAAAGCCTCCTAACTTGAGGACCCCCTATGATTTTGGTAAAAAGGCCAAGTATCCAGAAAATGTTCAGCAATTTACAGTTGGGGATCAGATGAAGTCCTTGAAAAGCAGACTTCCACAACCACCGCTAAGAGGAGATCGAGCTGACTCGTCAGATCGCGCAGAACTATTCTGGCATAACAGGAATGAAGGGGAGACTTTTCCTATGGATTCGCCCTTAAGAGCGGATGACTGGAATGCTAGGAGCAAGAAATGGAAGATTGGGAGGGAGTCTCCTGATTTAAATTACAAATCATATAGAGCTTCCCCACCACAGATGAATGATAGATTTTTATCTTCTGAATTTAGAGCAAAACCATTTCAAGAGAAGATAAGAGGGAATAGAGTACAAAATGGAGGATCAGACATGGCGGCAGTGAAAAGTAATAGAGTGTTTGTTAAAAATGAAGATACAGAATCAGACTCATCAGAGCAATTTGAAGATGATGAGGATAGCAACCCTTTGTTGAGGAGTAAGCTGGCTTATCCCAGTGGTGTTATGGAGGCTTCACCATCTTCTTTGTTGAAGCCTGCTCTAGATGCAAAAAGGGGCAAATATGTGAAGAAAGAGGCGAAAGATAGTTTACGGGCCCTTGATGGGATCAATTACCCCTCCAACAAGATGGGTGGTTTTGTTGAACATGGACATATGCGTAGTCTAGAAAACTATACTGCCAAAGCAAAACAAAAGGGTAAGATGCGAGACAATAGTCCCATGCATAACTCTTCGACCAGAGTTTTGGAAGAACGCTATGTCTCGGGCTTGGGTAAATTTCATGATGAGGATGATGATTATGATGAACAGAAACAAATCTACAAATTGGGCAAGAATGCCCAATTTGAAGGGGAAGCTGGTGAAAGGTTGCACATACCTTCATGGAAGACCTACCCTACTACGGGAAAGCAGAAAAGAGAAGTTGGCCATGATCATTCTGTACCACAGTCTCGTTACTTTGTTGATGAAGAGGATGACTCACTTGAAATGCGATCGCTAGCTAATGGTAGTGGACATGGTAGATTCAGGAAGAAAGGTCAGAACACTGAAGCATATGTGAGTGATCGCCATGAACGAATTGAAGTCCCACTATTAGGGTGCAATTTGATGACAAAGAAGCGGAAAGCTAAGGAGGATTCAGACACTGGTAGAGGAGATGACGATGGTGACTTACAGTCTAACCATTTGCAACGTAGTGTTGATTCCAATTCCTTGAAAAAAAAGGCAAAGAGGAAGGTGGAGAATGACAATATCAGCTCAGATGTAGAAATTTCTGATCCACCAATTACGGAAATGGGAGCAACAGATATGGAGCCGGAAACCAAGCCCCAGAAAAAACCATTTATTCCAATTACACCTACTGTTCATACTGGCTTCTCATTCTCGATTGTACATCTTCTTTCAGCTGTTCGCTTGGCAATGATAACTCCGCTTTCGGAAGATGCTTTTGATGTTGGGGGACCTATAGATGAGCATAACAAAAATCGTGAGGGTTGTGTAAATGGGGTTCTTTCTCGTCAAAAGGTGGATGCCAATAACTCAGAACTTGCTGGAGAAGTGAATATGCCTTCTCTAACAGTTCAGGAGATTGTGAATCGTGTTCGATCGAATCCGGGAGATCCTTGTATTCTTGAGACACAAGAGCCACTTCAGGATCTGGTGAGAGGAGTTCTAAAGATATTTTCTTCAAAAACAGCACCTTTAGGAGCAAAGGGTTGGAAGACACTGGCCGCGTATGAAAAGGCTACAAAAAGCTGGTCATGGACTGGTCCAGTTTCTCATGGTTCATCAGATCATGACACCAGTGATGAGGTGACATCTCCTGAAGCGTGGGGTCTTCCTCACAAAATGCTTGTCAAGTTGGTTGATTCGTTTGCTAATTGGCTCAAATGTGGGCAAGAGACCCTTCAACAAATCGGAATTCTTCCGGAACCGCCCTTGGAGTTGATGCAGCTCAACCTGGATGAGAAAGAACGGTTCAGGGATCTAAGAGCTCAAAAGAGTCTTAACACCATTAACCCAAGTTCGGAAGAAGTGAGAGCTTATTTCCGTAAGGAGGAAGTTCTCAGGTATTCAATTCCAGACAGGGCCTTCTCTTACACAGCAGCTGATGGTAAAAAATCCATTGTTGCCCCATTAAGAAGGTGTGGTGGTAAGCCAACATCAAAAGCTCGAGATCACTTTATGCTGAAACGTGATCGACCGCCACATGTTACAATTCTTTGTCTTGTGAGAGATGCAGCTGCAAGATTGCCTGGAAGTATTGGCACCAGAGCAGATGTTTGTACTTTGATAAGAGATTCTCAGTACATTGTTGAAGACGTGTCTGATGCACAAGTTAATCAAGTTGTTAGTGGAGCCCTGGACCGTTTGCATTATGAGCGTGATCCTTGTGTGCAATTTGATGGGGAAAGAAAATTATGGGTATATTTGCATAGAGAAAGAGAAGAAGAAGATTTTGAGGATGACGGTACTTCATCTACAAAGAAATGGAAGAGGCAGAAAAAGGATTCTGCCGAGCAACCTGACCAAGGAGCAGTAACAGTGGCTTATCATGGGACTGGGGAACAAGCTGGGTATGATTTGTGCTCTGATCTCAATGTCGAGCCATCATCATGTTTGGATGATGTGAGACAAGATGTGGAGGATAATGTTGATACCAATCATGGGTCTGAACAAGATGAAATGCACCAAGATGATCCAATTCTTTGGGAGGAGGGTCTGGGCTTAAATCCAATGCGAGAAAACAAATTGCTATGTCAGGAAAATTCCACGAATGAAGATTTTGATGATGAAACGTTTGGGAGAGAAAGGACAGTTGGGCTCTTGAGTGCAAGCTTACTATGAGGTTTTCTTCAGGTAGTTTTCAATAGCATTATTCACTCTCCGATATGCAGTTGCTCTCCTTTGTGTTTTGGCGTTGGAAATTTACGCTTTTAAATTGAATTGTTTATTTTTCATATTCTTGCATACTTATGTCAGATCACATGACATATAATGGAACTGTGGCTTCCTGGTAGTAGCATTGTAAAAATCAGCTAATGGTGCACTTCTAGTCATGTTTTTTTCCCCACCTATTTTGGGTTCGATTGATTTTAGCGTTCACCCTTTCCGTCCCTTCTCCTGTATTATTAATTTTTTCACACGTCTTTATGGTTTTTTTATATATTTAAAATATGATAAAAGTATGTTATGCAATATAAGTTGAAAGTTCATT